CCTTATTCTCCCCCACGCTCCATCCGTGTCAGGGGCTTCCAAGAGCACCCAAAATGCCCGCAGCCTGATCGACCTTGGGGGCAAGAACCCTTCTCATGCCTGGCAGGACACCAGTGGGTGCTCCAAAGCACTGGGACTCCTTGCAACATTTATGCATCCCATTTCTTACGGCTGCTGCCCCTGGCTCTGCAGGGGATGAGGACAGTGAGCTCTGCAGTGCTGCTCAGGAAGGCATTCCCTTGGTCTTGCCACTGCTATCCAGCTGAAAAGGCCTGATAGCCTCAGGCACCTCTAGGTGTTGGTGGTTCTTCTCATCTCCTGAGGAGCTGGTGTCTGTTCCCCAAAGGCTGAGGCAGGATTTCAGTCTATCAGATGAGCTTTGAACTCAGCCCCGACAGGAGCTGGCCTTGCAGTGGAGAACCTGCAGCAGCCTTGTCCAGCCTCCAGTTTTCCTCCCTCAGCTCCCTCCTCCAAGTAATTCCATTGGTTCCTCAAGGACTTTCTTTCTGATGTCTTCGGGCTGCCCCTGGGCCAGCTCTGTCCCAACAGCAAAGCCAGGCAGGCTGGCAGTGGGACACGGGAGGATACTGCCTTTATGCTGCCCTGGGGCATTGTCACTGCTGCATTGCCAGGTGGTGGCAGTGTGACACAGGGTGATGGGGCCACCTGCAGCCCCACCCACCACCCAGCATCCTTCAGAGGAAGGCCTTTGGGGCGCTGGCCCTGAGGCAGTCCCCGTTCACAGGAGGCCCAGAGGGTTGCCCCGGCCCTTGGTGGCCATGCACTGGGCACAGTTGCTGGGCACCCCCAACGCATCCTTTGCCACTCGTCTCCCAAGGACAAACCCATGCTGTTACTCTTCTCTCAGGCCATGGCAGAAACCAACCCTGCAGCCCAGAGACCAGCCTTATTAGCCATGCCCTCTCTGTGCCAGAGCTTACATCCATGAGGCCATGCAGTGAAGAGGACCAGGGACTTGATCTGGCTTGACACAAACCCTTTTCTGGGGGCGTAAGGGGGGGGTGATTTCCCTCTCTGCAGCCGCAGCCTGGAGGAAAGCCAAAGCATATCCAGAGCCATAGGTTGGGATGGAGAGTGCCAATAGACTACCATGGAATTAACACAGGCTTTAAAAAACAAGTGAGCAGAAGTTACGCTGGTGTGGTGGAAGGGCTGGTCATTTTCAGAACTAGAACATTTGGATCCGTGCCCAAAGCACAGTGAGGCAAACGATGACTCTTCCAAACTGTAAAAATAGCCCATTGCTGCTATCACCATGACATCCCCTTTACCCACTGAAACCAAGCTGTGCAGTTGGCCGTGTTTATATAGGATACAAAACTCACTTCAGCCACGGGGTAAAACTTTCAGAGCTCATTTGTGACTTTAACCTTTCTTGAGAGTTATTCGCCTACTTTGATTTGTGGGAAGATGTTCAGATCTTATCTAAAACCCTGGCAAATCTCTTTCCTTCAGGATTTAATATTTTGAGTACTAGAAGAGTAAAGAAAGTACTGTTCTTGTCATTTTGTATGTTGGTGCTGAAATTGCTATGTACATTCAGACTATGTAAATAAAGGCATTTATACCATATACATTCATTTGGTTGTGGTGATGCCAGAGGCGAAATAAAGGGTTTTGGTTCCCTCTGCATGAACTTTGCAGAGATGTAGAGAGCATCTTTTGGATTTGAGATGATTTCACACATAAACATTACTTTCAGTGGTGTCTGTTGAATCTGGATCAATATTTAAAAAAATGTGTCAAATTTAATGTCATCCCTATTTTTTTTTTTCCCCTAAATAAAAGATGTCATACCTTAAACAGACCATTTAGGTTTATTCAAACACTAGTCTACACATCTGAGCAGTCAGAAATAAAGATTTGCAAATCAAAACTCAAGTAGAATTAAACATTTATTCCGTATCAAGTTCATTCAGACTTTTCTTAATTCAGGGTTAAAAACTGATCTTAATTGTACATTAAGCAAACATAGTTTTACTTTGTATTAGCAAACTGTAAGTAACCATAGAACCTATGTCAACTCCAATATATTTCACTTGTTCATACGTGCATAAAATACAGTCAATGCTGGCATCCTTTAAATGCCTTTTGTTATAAATATTTAATTAGACCACTGACTGAATGCAGTAAACAAACCCAACAGGATCTTCATTTGCTTCTGACTAATAATCACTATGCAGTTAGCACTTCTTTTTGTTTGTTTAAACTGTGTTATCCTCTACTGAAATCCAGATTATATTTAAAGCAGAAAATATGAACAAGGCTATCACAGATCCCAAATTCAATGATGAAATTCCTCCCATCTATCTAAGAAACCACAGACCAAGAGGGGAAAAAAAAAAAAGCAAGTTGATTTTTCCCCCCCCTCATGAAAGCAAGAGGCACATGTAGATCACCCTAAAAAGATTAGTAACTTACACCTGCTCCCACAGATGTCAATTATCAGGAAAGGAGTAGGTCACAGATATGTCATTTGCACTGTGCTAAAAAAATTAAAAATTGCTTCTAGAAATTAAGTCTCAAACATTCCAACAGTCTGTTCACTCAAGCTATTAAAACTAACCTGCCATTACGTCTCACAAATATTACACTATTGAATCATGAACCTAAGTTACTTTATCCTTTAACATGGTTCTGTCATTTCAAGCACAAAGATTCAGTTGTTTACAATTTTTGGCAAATACCTCTCAACATCTTTCATCCTCCCATACTTTGACAAGTCTCTCTGATACACTTACATGTTATCTCTGTAAGTGAACTGAACTCTCTTTAAAGAAAGTAATAAAAGGTAACTGAAAGTTCCTAACAGTTCACAGCCTGTGAAAGTTGTTTTAAGTCATGCTCCTCCAGAACTATTCAAACAATAGTTTCTTCCTCTTTCCTCCTCTCCAGGCATTCACACATTACTCGGAAGAATCTGAGGCTACGTGGACATTACCTTTAAGAGTTACAATAGTTTTAAGGTTAAAATAAATTAATTTAATCAATTGTTCATGCTCTATGTATGCAAATATTGTGTACACATAACTCATCTTCTTTAGTATAATAGTTCCATACAATTATTTCGTGATATATTTCAGAAATTTCCTAGAGATAAAGAGGTTTGGACATTTTTTCTTTAAAGCTACAGAATGCAGAAAATCAATCTATTTTGTTAATATGGAATCTGTGGACTTAAGGAACTTTATACATTTTAGACCAAAAGTTAAAGGGCTTAAATATAATATTTCAATGGAGGTTATTTTGCTTCCTTATGAAACTTTCTGGGTTCCCAAAAACCAAAATAAAGCAAGTTTGAAGAGTGGCTGGTATCAAAGTTCTTAAGACTACTCCCACTTAAAGTTTTTAATTCTTCAGAGCAAGTAGCCAAGATACAGAGTAATCATTTACAGACCACAGAGACATATTTTATCAACTATTCAAGATATCAATGCAGAGACGCTGATGGTAAAATTGACTACAGTTCATTTCTAGGAAAAATCAGAGACCACGAAACACTACAGTAAGAATTTCAAGTTACAATGAAATGAGGAATAGGTTTCACCTAGTACAGGCTTAGCTTCGTTATGCTGGTAGGTCATCGACTTTTCTGGGCAATAGTGGAGTACCTTAAATGTTATATCTATGCTGGCATTCAGACAAGCATATTTGGAGAAGCTATACTCAAGAAAAAGACTATAAACCAGGTCCTTCAAATTTGCATCTACAAAAGCAAAGTAATAAAATTACAAAGATAAATGAGGAAAAAAAACCTGAAGGAAATCATCACAAAAGAAGCTGAAATATCTGTTTAAACAGTTCTGTAGAAAAAGAACTATTGACTTAAAGTTCACACTGGCAAGTTGACACCAGTCAGAAGACTTATTAAGGCAAAATAGAGAGTTCTAAGGGCAAAAGAACAAACAGATTACTCTCAGAGGTGATAAATTAATTTACAAAGTAACCCTCAAAAAAGAGAAATATCTGAGATGTGCTTTATGTTGGAAGCCAAACATCAACCATGTCAGGCATGCCCTGGGCAATGGGAAAGACATGCAAAAACAAGCCAGAAGAAATAATTCCATTGTCAAACAACACTAGGTGGCTGCAAGAAAGATCTTAAACTAATTATCAATATACAAAACATACAAGTGGCAAAGAAACGAGAAGGGTACAAAATGTACCTGTACTCCTGCAGCAACATTTGGTGACAAATTCTGAACTACGAAAGAAAACCATCAAATTATAGTAATTTGCAAAGATGTCTCTATATCACAGTAAAAACATGCTGATTTGCCTTGAGTGAACTGTTTTTTTTTCCCCACAAACAATTTCATATATAAGCTTGCTATCTCAACACGTTAAAGCTATTTTTTTCTAACTGAGCATCTCCTGTCAGTTCCTATTCTGTGGCACTCACCAAATGACACAACATGTCAGAGAGAAGACACACACAGGAATTAGCTTTCAGAAACATTTTGTCACAGAAACCAAATTTTGTCTACTCTGAAATATCTCTCAATGCATTCTGCATGTCACATATAAATATACTTTTTTTTCCAAAAAGTGCTTTGACTCAATATAGATTCCAAGAAAGTGTCTTGTTATGCAGAAGTTATGTCAATTTAATTTTAACTAGACTTTAAATTCTAATAAATCCCAATTTTATTCATATAATACAGGCTAAGTTTGCATATGTACCTAATCCATGCAAAATAAACTAAAATAATTCCAGTTAGAGCAAAGTGCACATCCATGCAAATTTTGTAGTGATATAACTAAGTTTATAATTGCATTGCAATTTGTTGTTGGGTTTTTGTGGTTGGTTCCCCCCCGCCTCCCCCAGTACATAGATTCATCAGAGTTCCTTATAAATATTTGCTCCCAAAATTCAACCCTTTCTGAAGATTCCAGAAATATGATATACGATTCCCTTATGCACAATCCACCCCTGCCCTTTTCAGTTCATGATAATGTAGCATTAACCCTTGCTTACAGGGTATAGGGATAAGAAGCCCTAGAGCACTCCCATTTTTCCTGTATATAAACAGGAATAAGGTTTACATTGGTATTTCACAACGCACTTGTGAAACTCCGTGATCAAACCAAATGCCAGAACATCTTCACAGTTATTGCTCAGCTACAAAAACAAAACAAAAAACAAACAAAATCAAAGAACTGAAGACCTAGCAAGACACCACGATCTACTTACTGTCCCTGTCTACTGGTTACTGTCACAGACATACTGCATTTTCACCTGAAACTGTATGCCTCTTACTCCAGCCCTTGAAAGTCAACTAATTCTACAGGGGTGGGGCAGGAAGATGCTTGGCAAAAAAGATTCATGTGAGTCATCTGCAGATAAACCTATATTTTCTCCCCAAATTTAATGCTACTGTGTGTTAAAAGATGGTTTTGTCTTTTAATATTAAAGTGCAGAACTCTTACCCTAAACAGCTAAATCAGGCCATTCAAAAAAAAGGCAACTTCTTTCTTAATCTGTTGATAGACTAGCAGCCAGCTTTTTCTCCAGCGAAAAAGTGTCAGCTTCTCAGAAACGATTACCTATGATGCCATGTGCAAGCAGTGGCAACCACATAGAAATACCATTTCTGCTGCACATAATTCAATATTCCATGCATAAAACAAGTTAAGAAGTACTCAGAGAAAAAGAACTTAGATGCGTGTCAGTCTCAACCACTCAGAATGTCAAACACTTCAATACAAATATCATCTCTGAAGGAAAACTTCTGCAATTCACCATTATTTATAGGTAATAAACCAGAAAATTGGAATAAGTAACACCAGGCACTTTAAGAAGCATGTGTTACCAGAGGCATAAGGAAGGCTCACACAGCACATGACACAGCTGATCATGACAGAGCTCTCCAAGATGCAACAGGCTGAAGACAGAACTTCCAAAGAGTTCCTGGGCTTCTTCATTACTCTCTGCAAGTGATGATATCAAGAAACTCTGTAACAGATATCTTAAAAAAGGATGCCTAATGGATCAGACAACTTCTGAGTCTCTAGTACCACAAAAAAGAGGCTTGGAGTAGTTTTGAGTGTAAACTAGACCTGGAGTTAGCAGGAAATTTATTTTCCATCCTCCCCCACTTACCATATCTATTACGTGCACTCTTCAGAGCCCATTACTTCCCCTTCCAGACTTACCAGGTGCATAGAGAAGGAACGAACTCAGGTACATGTATAAAATAACAGAAGTAAGAAGGCTGTGTAGAAATCAGATAGAGCCATAGACCTGGTGAAATGCATAAACTTTGATCTGGGAAGTATATTTCCTCAAACAATATGAATGATCACTATTGCTTGTCTCGAAGGAAAAAAAAGAAAACAAGAAGGTAAGGTTTGGACTTTTTTCTTCCTGCAAAGAACACCAAATCTAAAATACAACTTCCCTCCCAACCCGCCCCCGCCAGAGGATGACATAGATCAAACAATGCCCATCATTAAGCGGAGAACATAGCTTTTCCTTACGTGATCTTTGGGAACAACTATCTCTTTCACTTCTCATGGTTCCAAAATAAATTAGCACTTGTAAAGAAAAACTATGATGTTGTCTGTTCAAATACACGAATGGACAAGCTATTCAGTGGGATGTTAGGGCTTTAAAAGTATCCTTAACTCTGAGTGCAATACGAACTTATATTGTTCCTGATTCTTTTTTCTCCCCAAGGACTCTCATGTTGACATCTTTTGTAAGAAAGAAAAATCAAGACAGGAGAGCAAAACTGTTTCAGCTGGATTAAATAGTCACTGGCTGCACTAAAGAATTACAGTCAAAGAAACTGAGACAGTTTAAGTGATCAAGTTTGGTACTTCAAATGCTAAATAATTATTTTGAAAGGCCAATCTTAATTAAATAGATCAAGAACATGAAGTGAGCGGACCTTGCAGCAACTTGTGTCCACTCAAGAGCACAACATTTAGCTACACTGCAACTTCTGGAAGATAGTATAAAACTGTGTTAAGGGAAGGCTATTCTTGAAGCAACCTAACTCTGTCCTCTTTGAGCTGAACTATGTTGATAATACACATACTTCAATACAACATTTGATGTTTTTGAACACAGATGCTGCAGAACACTTAACAGACTGAGAGGCACTGAAGGATAAAATGGTAACATTTGAGTTTGGTCATGAAAACGTATCAAGGATTAGGATCTGAGTACCTTTCACTCAAAACAGTAAACCTGCTTCATGTAACCAGCAAACATTTGCTAAAGATTATCATTTTCTCAATCTTGCCTTGAAAATTCTTTTCCCTTACTCCCTCAGTTAAAAACAAAGCCACTGCCACACATGTTATCACACAGCTCTCAGCAGCCAAGACAAGAAGATCCTTGAGCAATACCGGGATTATTATTACAAAAACCAATCTGTGGTAACCAGGACAGAAAACAGATATCGCAACATATACAAATTGGCTTCAGTCGTATCACAATTACGGGACTTTACCTATTCACTTAAATTAATCCCTCTGCCTATCTCAGCTTCATATTACAGAATTCAAGCATTTAGGAATATAGCTGAACTCAATTTTCAGCAAGTTAGGATATCCAATTGTCACTTGGTAAATACTAAATTTCTAAAAATGTTCAGTGAAGCATGGAGAGCCTGGTCCAGACCAACCTCTATACAGCTTTTGCTGCTTCGTCTAAATCTCAAAGATAATACACTTTTAAAAACTAATTACATTCCGCTCTTCTTTTGTTAAACACCAACCTTAACCAAAACCTGTAACCTCTTTTCTAATACAATTATTTTATGTATTCTACTAATTACATTCCAGTCTTCTTTTGTTAAACACCAACCTTAACCAAAAACTGTAACCTCTTTTCCAATACAATTATTTTATGTATTTGACAAAAGCTCACTAGCGTCTTATTGAATTGAAATATCCACTTTTTTAAGTTTGAAAAAATTCTTTCTATATCCAGTCAACTTTGTTTGAGAAATTAATCTAATTTCATTTGTACCAAACATGTCACTTGGCAAAATAAAGAACAAAACCAGCTTCAACAGGGGAGCAGCAGGGGAGAAGGAGCTGGTTTTTGTATAAGAAGTTACATGAAACAAGATTTAATTCTTTCAATATCCAAAATTCAAAATCCATGTTATAAAAAATCAAGTATGTTGAAATGTTTTAAACCACTGGAGCTGAATAAATGTAGCCACAAATATGTCTAGAACTAAATTAAGCTCACAAAGCAAAAGGGAATATAAGCGGGACAGAAATCTACCTACCACGTGAATAGCAGCTTAGAGAGCAGTTTCTGGTCTACTGAAATTGCATTTCTTCCTAAGCACACAGACTATTGTCAGTGGATATTCTGTTCTTTCAGGAAAAAAGAAAAACAAGATGGACAGAAAAAAGAATGGAAATTAAAGTAAAAAAACCTGTCAGAACTGAAACACAGGAAGACAGCTAGCACCTGAATCTATACTAAGATTACTTTTTAAAATAAAGGAAAATAGAGGGAAATAAGAAGATAGGTGTCAGAGTAAACAACTGGCCTAGATCATGGAATTCAATGAGCAGTAACAAAAGAGAGCTGCTATTTTAGAAGCCATTTAATAGGCACTGCTAGGGATATTATGCCTGAACTCATCCATACTCCCAGACAAGTATAAAGTCTCGGTCTTCCAATTGTACAAATGTGGAACAAGCCTAAGGAAGTTCTTCGATATTTAGAGATTTCTTGTCTTACTTCAAAAAAGCTAAAGAAAAACAGGCACTTGGACAACAGTGATAAACGGATGAGATTCTGTGGAACTGCTTTTTCCTGCAAGTGAAAAAATGTGAGAAGTGACCATCTTGCTAAAAGGACCACATACAAAACTATTAATTTTGAGAACCTAAGAAAACATAAAAAAGAAAAAAATGGAGTTTCCTTTCATACTCTAACTTAAAAATAAGAAAAATATTTTGCACTGAATTATGTTGTGTCTCCATTTGCACTTTTTCAGCAATAGCACCTTTTCAGTAAACTCCAAATTATTTCAAAGGTATCTTTTTAAAGTAAAAATTGTAGAGCACAGCTAGGTATTGCTGGTATGAGGATTAATATTTCACCAAAGTGCCTAAGTCAGAATCATCATTTCACCTCAATGATATGCTGCACCACAACAGGTAGTAGGTGCTAACCCTCTGACATGACAGAGCTTCAATTCACTAAGATTCCGTATGGGAAGAATGGTTACTAGGCTAGCACATTAGATAGTTCCTTGCAAAATGTCAGGATAGTAGTCTCAACCAGGGATCAGTGCAATGTTTTTGGGGAGAGTTTGCACATAGGCACTGCAATTATTACATTATTAGTCAACTTCATGGATTTACAGCTATGCCATTGGTTTTATTTCTTTAATAATTGTATGTTAATACCATTCATGCTATCATCAGTTTTTAATTGACAGAGTATGTGTGTAATGTGCATTATATAGTCTAAATTAAATTATTAACACAACTAACAGGTTTAGAGTAATTCCAGAATTATACTCCTACAATGGTGAAATATAGCTATAATTATGCACATCAGTTGAGGTTTGAAGGGACCTCTGGAGGTCATCTAGTCTAACACCCCTGCTCGTGTCCTATAAATGATTCAAACGAACATATAAAACAGATTGTTTCTATTCCACTTCATCGCCCTCCTTAATTTTTGCTTCTGTTCTTACAGCAAACTCTTTTTATTACAAATAATCAGAAAACATGTTTCTTGCCAACCGACTTAACTGAATCATGATAGATTTAAAATACTGCAGAACAGAATTTTTCAGTTGTAAATGTAAAATGGTATCTTTTTGAATCTGTAGTAAGCCACAACTTCATTGAAGTCTCATTTTTGGATGGGGCAAAAGCCCAGGAAGATAAAATTCATATAGCCTTTCAATTAAAACAGAGATACCATTCAGATTTAAACATCCTGATTTTCGTGAAAAATCAAAAAAAGAACTCCAGGGTTACTACACCATCTATGTCATTTTTTGTTTTATATATAATTTCTATAGATATTTCTCCCTATATATTGATAGATAACTAAAAATACTTTTCAAGAACTTTCAGGTGACGCAATTCCTGCAAGTTTAGACCATAAGTATGCACAGCCTTATGCAATGTGTTCTGGAGAGCAGTTATTCTGTAGTATATTTTTCATGTTCATGTTTTGTTTATTCTGATTTTTTTTTTTTCCTATAGACACAGCACAGGAAACAAGTAGACTTAACTAACATTAACGAAGGCTTCACTATTGCTTTTTACAATTGACTTAATTTACGGTGAAGTGGTCTACATTTGACACTGTCAGGGAGAGATCCCTGTAGGGCTAAAATATTGTACTTTAAGAAACATACACTGAAATTGTTTGGTTTTAACATCAAGAATAGGAATTATTTAACAAATGGAGGCTTCAGAAAGCTTGTATTACTAACAACTAGAAAACACAAACCTTAAAAATACCAGCAAACTGCAGCAAAACATTCCGAAGGAGTACTTCGTATTGACAAACAACAAATAAGAATTTCTTAGATCATAGGAAGAGTTTTATTAGAGAACAGGTTTGAAGAAAGCTGTACTAATGCATGAAATAAGACTTAAGTTGTGATGAAATTTCTGGAAGTCTTAAAACCAGGTAGCTTTTTTTAGTCTTCCCTAACTATTAGTTTCGCAAGATCTTGAAGGACAGGTGAGAAGTATCCATCCAGTATTATATTACAGTACACAAAAGGACTTGTACACAATAGCAATTAGACTACTAGAAAGCCTAATGAAATCTACAATCAAACAGTGTAGGGACTGACTGATGGACATTAGAAAATGAAACAGCACAAGAGAAGACAAAAGGCTTCAAGCAGAAGCCTGCACTAATGCATGACTTGTAATGTGTGTACTACGTCAAAATTTAAACAATTTACATTAGACAAAAATGGGAATATTTTCAAGGAATCAGCTGGGTCTAGGAAATGCCATGACATCAGGACTGTTTTGTCCTTAGATCAATCTGAAAAACATATCTAGATGTCCTGTTTTAGAACAGGCACAAATTTTAACCACTCTTCATAACTCAGATATTCAGTCTAGGCACCATAGCTAGTCAGTTAGTTACAACATCATGCAAAATGTAACGACTGTGTTCACAGGTGTAGTCCAGAACAACTATTTTTCCCCCATTCCAAACAAATGGATACTCTAGTGCAAAGCATAAGACAGAAGTGTAAAGGAGGAGTTGACTTTAGTGAGGAAACCTATCAACCTAGGGCAACGAAGCTGGTGAAGGGTCTGGAGAACAAGTCTTATGAGGAGCAGCTGAGGGAACTGGGACTGTTTAGCCTGGAGAAGAGGAGGATGAGGGGAGACTCATCGCGCTCTACAACTACCTGAAAGGAGGTTGGAGCGAGGTGGGGGTTGGTCTCTTCTGCCAAGTAACTAGTGATAGGACGAGAGGAAATGGCCGCAAGCTGCGTCAAGGGAGGGTTAGATTGGACATTAGGAAAAATTTCTTTACTGAAAGAATGGTCAGGCCTTGGAACAGGCTGCCCAGGGAAGTGGTGGAGTCACCATCCCTGGAAGTATTTAAAAGACTTGTAGATGTGGCGCTTAGGGACATGGTTTAGTGGGCATGGTGGTGTTAGGTTGACGGTTGGACTCGATGATCTTAGAAGTCTTTTCCAACCTTAATGATTCTATGATTCTAACCTTCTATAACAAATATTAATTCCCCACACAACCACCAATGCAGTGCAGTTCTAATATTTACCTAAAAGTCTGCTTGCTGTGGGTGTCATATTAGGTACCATTTTGCAGAACATGCTGAATCATATCATGTTGCTTGGTCACATCTTTAGCTTACTGAACCCATAAATGAAAATTATGATATTCTAAACTAGCAGCTTATATGGCCATAGAAACTTCTCATCACCTTACAGCCATCTCCTATGACTAGAACAAACAGCAATGAGACAAATTTCACAAAGAGAAATGACTGTGACTGGAAGCAACAAGTAGAAGTGAAGCATCAGAAAGCCAAACAGACTTCACCAGCTGTTTAATTCACTGGATTCCTCTTTTTCCCAGAAGTTTACAAAAAACTGAACCCAAGAACAGCTTAGAGCTCCTGTCCTGCAAAAGCAACTGCTGAAGAGCAGAAGGTTTTTTAGGATTAGGATGCAGCTGTGCAAAGGAACCAAGCCTCATTATTAGAATCTGCCTTTGGTGCTACTAGCTGGAAGAACTTTTGAAAATATCACCTACACAACCTTTGAGATACAAAGCTAAAGTCTTCAGGTACTATGAACATGGTTTTCAAGTGTTTGCAAAGTTTATTTGAATTACAAAATAGAACTAAGCAAATTTTAATGTGTTTTACAACTGACTGGCTGGAAGTATGGTTTCCAAATATAAACTGTCCTACAAGGAACACTGTCTTCTTTTCAAGGGGGCACCATATCCCAGTATTAAATAAATGAGCTTATTTCTGGGGTATCCATCAATCCAGCATAAAATAGGGAGTTTCTAGTTAAAACAATTCCCAACCCTTCAAAAAGTGTGCCTGAAGAAGTCATGCAGCTTATAATAGTTGGTGTTGCATTTTCTGCTGGCAAAAGTGACAACAAATGAACTTTGTAATAGAGAACGGCCTCTCACACCTTTGTACTGAAGTGACTGGCATCTTTTGGGAGACAGTACTAGCCTGAAGTAATCTGCTGATAGGACCTAGTTACTACCTTACTCGTACAAAAATTCTCATAATAAATCAAACTAAAGGTTATTTCACTGAAATAAGATTTGGAATGCAACTTTCTTCCTCCTTTCATGTAATTACATGTTTCATAATTTAATCAATGTAAAATATTAAGCAACTACTATTTGACTTAGAACTTGGACACTATTGTCAGACTGAAAGCGTGTGTGTGTGTGTGTGTGTGTGTGTGTAAATAGATATAGATAGATAGATATATTCAAAGGATATTAAAGTCATAAAAACCAAGAAGCTATTTTCCATTTAGCTCACAATCCCTATTTCTGTTAGTGATCTTAAGTCAGATTCAACAGACTAATATACACTATACCTAATCCAGTGATTTACAGTTGTAAACAAAATCCATGCAGGCATGAAAATGTGGAACTAGAACATAACTTTAAATACAAGTATGTATTTTATACCTGTAACAGAATTTTTCTTTGAAGCAAGCTTTTTAAACTTTAGTTCTCCAGCTGAGATAACTTTAAAAAAAAATTAATGAACTCAAGACAACTTTATTAGTGTGACACTACCTTCAGGAAAACCTTAATCTTTTGCAAAAAAAAAAAAATCAAGTTTCAGCTGTCAAACGATCACCATTGAAACGATTTGTATATTACATTTTATCTTATCTGCTAGTGTACCTCGGAGTGCATTTTTAAGGATAAACTGATAAGCTTTTAAAGATGGCATTTTAAAATGAAACTGATAAGCTCTTAAAGATGGCGTTTTAAAATGAAACGTTAACTGGCCCCTAATGATAGCAATGTGAATGTAACATTGTAATGAGCTCACCAGATATACAAAATGTATTTGTTAAACACTCAGTGCAATGAAAGCAAATTTTCTTTTTCTCTATAGAAAAAGAGCTCTTTATATAGATACTTGATGCCTTACCTCTAGGTCACAGCTGTATTCCGTGCCATCCAGAAGCATTACTTTACACTGCACAGATTTAATTTTCTTGGGAGACTTCTGAGGAATGTTTTCTGTTTTAATTTCAGCTGTCTGAACTTCTTTTGTCTCCCTTTTTTCTTTTTCATCTTGTTTTTCTTCCTTTTCCTCTGCAACTTTCTCTACTTCCATTTCTTTACCATCTTCTTTGGCAGGCTATATAAAATACAGTTAAACAATGACTAAAACTCAGGAAGGTGGATATTTTTAACTTCTTCATTTCTTTTATAAGCTACTAATAAATAGGACATTAAGCTTTCATTAAAGTTATGCACATACTGGAAGCACAATAACCAGTGTAAGCATTAAGGTCTTCCTTTGGGGACCAGATATTCTTGCTCTCAAACCACAGAAGGTGCTTTTTTTTTTTTTTCTTTCCTTGAAATGAGATTTTTTTTTTTTAGTGTTTTATTGGCTTTTTTCCCCCCTAACAGAAACAAATTTAACAAGAAGCTCCACAAATTTATAAAAAACTAAAAAACAGTGTTTATGAAAGTCACTTTATACAGAATCACAGAACAGTTGAAGTTGGAAGGGACCTCGTGAGATCATCTAGTCTAATGCCCCTAGGGCCCCTCTAGGGCCACCTAAAAGCAGTTTGCCCAGGACCATATCCATTTGGGTTTTGAATATCTTCACAGATGGATACTCCACAACCTCTCTGGCCAATCTGTTCCAGTGTTTCACCCACCATCACAGTAAAGATTTTTTTGTGATTTGAGATGGAATTTCATGTTTTTAATTTGTGTCCATTGCTTTTTGTCATTTAACTGCATACCACTGAGAAGACTGGCTCCTTTTCATTCCATCCCTTCAGGTATTTATACACATTGATAAGATTCCCCTTGACCCTTCTCTTCTCCAGACTGAACAGTACCAGCTCTCTCAGCTCCTTCTCGTATGAAAGATTCTCTACGTCCTTAATCATTTATCACCACCCCAGAATGTGAGGTTTGAGTGTTAAGAATTGACATGCAACTTTCCAAAAAGCAAGACTCTGGGGTACTGCAGAAGGTGCCGTTTGGCTTGAAACTCAGCTGCAACCTCCCAGAATGAATCAATAAGGACAGCAACCAGAAGCATGGTTTCTAGGTAAAGAATAACAAAAATGGAGATTTTTAAGGACTCAGAGATAATCCCTTTGTTGTGGTTAAGTCACTAAGGAGGTATTCATGTGATCCAAAGGCTTCAGAGACAAAGCTGACTTAAGAAGCTTCTTCTCTTATCTCTGCTCATTTCTACTACAATGATACAGTTCAATGTTCCTTTGAACTATGCCAAAGTGTGAGGTCACGCTAAAATTAGACATCTAGAACAACTGGAGTAAAAAATGCTCTGCCACAGAGCAGGAACCTTTAAAACCAGCTATGCTACCAGCTATGCTACTCGTAACTGTATCAACCCAACTGCACAAAAGGCCAGATAGTAGCTGTCATTTTTTCCCCGATGTGATCCTAACAAAGCCTTACATGAATTACATAAATCATGTATCAGATCTCATTAAAACTACTCCAAAGCATCCATTAGCCTTCCCACACATACCTGTGTTTCAGCTCTACTAACAGAGTGTTTTTCTTCTTTGTCTGCTTTAGCATTATGCAGATTTTCAGCCGCTGCTTCTTCTAAGCTCTTTTTTGGCTGAGCCACCCCCTCTGCTGTCTGGCATTCACTTTCTTCAACTACTTGTTCTTCCCCTGTGGTCCTTTTCTTTGTCTCATCTTTGGGCTCTGCTAAGGTGTATGATTTTTGTTTCTTAAGCCAGGGGGGAAGGAAACGAGAAATACCCTTGCTTTCAGGTGAAGCTTTTTCCTTCTTCTGGCTACTTGGACTACTTTGGCTAGTTGGTGCTGGGACAGAGGAAGAATCTTGAGCTTCTTCAGAGGATGTTTCCCTGGACTTTTGATTTTCTGGAGTCTCTAATGCTTCTTCAGGCTTGTCCTTGGCTTTGTCTGGTCCCAGCTGCTCGGAATCTTTCTTTACTTCAGTCTCTGAGCCAACTTCAGTTGTCATTGTCAAAACTTACACTAAAAAAGCAACAATAAAAATAGTTTTGTTATGAAGCATTACTACTTTTACTGACTCTTACATTATTTGCAGTAATTTGTAGTAATAATCTACAAGACTTTCTAAATTAAACTTATTAGGGTTAAAGAAATACTTCTTTTCAAATTCTCAGCTCACAAGTAAAACCAGTGAGCTAAAACTTAGTGCTCAGCAGATAAAGATTTTCAAAAACACTACTGTAAAGAGGTCTACCAATAGTTTCCTTCTCCTTGATAAAAATGTGTGCTCAGTGAAATGCATTTGTTGCATTAGCTACTCCTAATGTTATCGGCCAAGATTATTTCACGAGTAACTTCAGTTCTCTTTCTACTGCGCTCCTTGGCTGACCCAGAAGCTCAAATTTCAGAAGAGCATCCACCTTCTCTAGTTAAACTGGTAGATACAACCCCCCTACTATTCAGTGACACTTATCAATATAACACAAGTTTTATACAGAAAGTCTTTTTAAAATCAAGAAAGAGTGCATGCTTCTAGTTGTTCCTTTTTACATTAAGAAAAGCCATTCTTGCCTTAAAAGAGACTCAGTTAAAGCATCTATACTCTTAGACATTATAAACTCTTCCATCCTCCTTATCATCCATACCTTTTCAGCAAAGAAGCAACCAGTACGCTTACAGTTGACAGTACCAGAGCAGACGTCGATTTTAGAGGGGAAGTCACAGCTTTAGTATTTAAGTTTCAGTTTATAGTCAAATCTAAAGTTAAGATTGTATTTAAAGTTAAGAGTGTATTTTCACAATTCCCTTATCTCAGTCCACAATGAACCAGTGGTAGGGATGGAGGAAAATAAAAGAGCAAGCTTACCAAAGAATAGGAGAAAAGGACGGTGAGCACGATACTGAGTATAAAAAAAAATTAGAAATTGTAAGTCAGTGATACTGTTGAAATTACCAATAATGCTAAGAAGCGTACTTTTTTTTTTTAAAGTAAGATTGGGTTCTTAATCACGAGTTCATACCGATCAACCTAAAATCATAACTCTTATACTCTCTCACCACTTCTGCCTGCTTCTTCCTTCAGTGAAATTAAAGACAAAACATAATACTATAACAACAGGATATGCAATAATAATCTTTAATCTTAACATTATTTGCTATTTCTTGAAAAAATGTTAACTAGAATAAACAAATTTTGTTAGCTGTGTGGCACTGGACTTCGCTGCACTACTTTGAAAATGTAATGTAATATAATTAATTTTTCCAATTTAATTGAAGTGAGCTAACAAAAATAAGCACACCAGGGTCCAACAAACAAAGTTTAAAATGGTTGGATCCCATTAGAAGTCACCGATACTTATTTACAACCTTCTTCAAACAATTAGTTTTAAACTGATGGTCTGTTTGTCTGGCCTGAAGGTTAGCAGGTTAGTTACCATCACATTTATGGCTTTAAAACATTGGGCCCTCTCCATTAAAATTGATTGCAAAATAAGCACACCAGGGTCCAACAAACAAAGTTTAAAATGGTTGGATCCCATTAGAAGTCACCGATACTTATTTACAACCTTCTTCAAACAATTAGTTTTAAACTGATGGTCTGTTTGTCTGGCCTGAAGGTTAGCAGGTTAGTTACCATCACATTTATGGCTTTAAAACATTGGGCCCTCTCCATTAAAATTGATTGCCAACAAT